CAGCGGGCGGGCTTTTTTTCACGCGGACCGTTACCGGGCTCACTTGTGGGCGGGCCGACCCGGCCCGGACCACCCGAATTGACACCTCTAGGTATATGGGCAAGAGCGTTACGAGAGAATACCCTTTTACATAGATTCCCCATCGTTTTCAGACCGCAATATTTGAATACAGGAGGAGAATTGTGTCTCAATGTAAGCTGTAAAAGTTTGAAGAATGGTACCGACCTCACTCTTTGACCGCAGAAAATATATCCAAGTGTAACGATTGAAATCATTAATAAACGTCACTAAGTACTTATAATTAGAATGTGAAGTTACAGGTGCCATTCCCCAAACATCACTATTGTGTAGGGATAGAATCTCACATCGAATAAAGATGTAAACATAAACCAACTAATAAAGGATTGGATTACTACTCTTAAAAATGTTGACTTTTTAAGATAGAACCCTAATTCTTAACATAGTATCAGAGCCCATTATGCTCCAACGAGTGATTCGATCCCGTTAAGGCTCTAAAATGACACGTGGATTTCAAGATTGGTCTGCTCAAATGAGCCACCATCTTTCGGGGGTGTGTTAAGGGATATATATCCCATATCGATAAATGATGTTGACACAAACCAATTAATAAAGATGTTGGACTACTTCTTTTAATAAGGTTGACCTTTTAAGATGGAACCCCAATTCTTATCATGGTATTAGAGCCCAAATTCTAACGAGCAATTCGATCCGGTTAAGACTCTAAAATGAGCACGTGGATTTCAAGATTGGTCTGCTCAAATGAGCCACCATTTTGCGAGGGAGTGTTAAGGGATATATATCCCACATCGATAAATGGAAATGGAAATGGAAGAGTTACTTTTCCAAAGCATACAAGTATCATGATTCCCTTGAGATGGAAATGGAAGAGTTACTTTTCCAAGTTTACAAGTATCACAATTGAAAGACATTGGAAAACTGAAACTTCTCTTTGTTACCCAAAAAATCACATTTCAACAACAAACGAGATAAAATTAAAGTATTGGGATGACCCAATCGTTTATGCCAAACTTCATATTTAAATTTATCACTATACAAGCCAAAGACATAGCAGAAGCAGGAGGAATAGTAAACTGTAGTGGAAATAATCTTCCGTCCTTAGGCCCCTTCGCCATCACCTTCCCGTTCCTTGTTCCTGCACAAGACAACAAGCACAAAGAAAAACACACATTACATTTATTATCAACTAATTGACCAACCGAAATCAAATTTGTAGATAAGCTCGGAAATACAAAAACATTATCAAAAGAAGGCTCAATATCACCAACAACAGTAATAAGAAGAGTGCTGCCATTAGCAATCTGAATGTGTTGTGTGTCAGTATATCGTCGAATGTTATGTAAGAAATCAAAACTACCTCATATGATTCGATGCCCTTGGGCTGTTGAGTTGAGATTTACTGGATTAGGCCAAATTCAGCCCGTACTGAACTTATGTTTGGGAGGGGGTAATTGAAATTTGAAAATTTGATGTTTTATTAGGTAGAAATACATGAACTTGTTAGTTTGGACTGTTGAGTTGAGATGTACTAGTTTAAACCCAATTCAGTCCGTGCTGAACTTATGTTTGGGGAGAAGTGAAAATTGAAAGACGTATCCACTTACTCATGTTCGAAATTTGGACTCTTTTTAGCCATATTTTCGTATCTTACATTTTAGAAAATAAAATATTTGACACAAAGATGTCCGAAATTTGGACTCTTTTTAGCCTTTTTCTGTATTTTACATTTTAAAAAATAAAATATTTGACACAAAGATACGTACCCGTACACAATACCCACCCGAGTCAGAGCTTTATAGCTTCCAAGTTCCAACTCGTAGAGTTTAGAACGGTTGCCTTTCCTATATGAGCTCTGCTCTTTTAACTTTCTCATACTCACATGAGCTTGTGTTTCACTGCTCATACATATCACGAGTGCTTGTAATTCCAGAGTGACCAATGCCAATTTTTACAGTCTTTTGTAGCATCTTACAGCATTTTTAAAATGTAAATTTTTATTTCACAGGTAACAGGTGTGGGAATAAATACTGAATGGGGACTGCTTATGTCAAGCATATCTGAGGAAAATGGTGAAGAAACACCATTGCAGGTTAAATTTGTTAAAATTCCTGGACTTTTACATGGATTCATCTGGTTGGCTACAATGTTAACATTGTTGTATTTTTCTAAATTTAGGTGCGTTTAAATGGGGTTGCCACTTTTATTGGGATAGTTGGGCTAGCAGTAGCTGTATCCGTTCTGATTGTTCTCGTGGCCAGGTAACTTTGGATATGGTTTTGTTCTGCCTGCAGATAATATATAAGAATAGCATTGATTAAAAACTTTGTTATTGTGCAGACTTTTTACTGGGCATTCCAAAAATCCAGATGGTACGGTCCAATTTAAACGAGGCCAGACTACAGTTGGTGAAGCGATAGATGGATTTATAAAAATATTCACTGTTGCAGTATGTCCCTATTCAAACGACATTTTGATTTTGTTCTACTGTTTGTTCATCTTAGAATTGTTGAATGACTTGGAAAAAGAATTCTAGGTGACCATTGTAGTTGTTGCAGTACCAGAAGGGCTTCCTTTGGCTGTTACTTTGACGTAAGTTCACTTGTTGATAGCCATCTTCTATTGAGTCATGTGTTTGTTATTTTTTTATATCTGAGGTATAGACAACAATTATAGTATCTTTTCTGACAAGAGCCCAATAATTTGCTCATATGACTTGTATCATTATGCATCTTGATATTGGGTCCGTTATTGCCCCAAGCTTTCTATGTGTTTTCACAACCCTCTTCATTTTCAGTAATGTGATTTAGTCATTTCTTAAACCAACTTTGGCTACCGAAGCAATATGGCTTTCCTTCTGTTGGTTAGATGATGCTGAAATTGCATTTCTGCTCACCGAGATGGATGCACATCGGAATATATTTTTCCTTTTTTCACATTGTCAATTTCCTTAATTTACTGCTTTCTATATTTGTGCTGTAGGCTTGCATATTCCATGAGGAAAATGATGGCAGACAAGGCCTTGGTATGCATACTTAATAGATCCATAGTTAATCATTTTGCTTGTTCCTTAGAGCTTCTAGTATTTTCTGCTATTCGAAATTAACCAAATTGAGATGCAGGTGCGGAGGCTATCTGCCTGTGAAACCATGGGATCTGCAACTACCATTTGCAGTGATAAAACTGGGACTCTAACTCTGAATCAGGTAGGTTATTAGTTTTCTTCTTTTGCTTCCACTTAGCTTTTAGAGGGCTACCCGGATACTTCTATAGTCAGTTGTTATGATTGCAGTAATATTTGGCAGTGATATACAATTTTTTTTTCCCATTGTGACGATTTTAACAATTTTTCTGTAGATGACTGTGGTCATGGCATATTCTTGCGGAAACAAAATTGATCCCCCAGATAATAAGTCCCTGCTTCCTCCTAACGTCATATCTCTGCTTATTGAAAGCATTGCACATAACACGACTGGCAGCGTATTTGTTCCCGAGGTAGGTTTTAACAATGATTTAGTATATCTCAATGATTGCTTATTCTAATTTGAATTTACATTCTAACTGAAAAGTTTTGAAGATGCTTTAGGCATATTACTTGCGCTGCAAGGAATTTTATCGGCTCCTAAAATTGTGGTGGCATGTTACTCATGTGTATGACATTCCCTACAAATTTGAAAGAGACTATTACTTCAATGTCAAGTGGCTAGGGTTTTTAACCTACGGAAAGTCTTTTAACTTTTGGCACAATGTATATATAAGTCAGTTGGATATTTTATATATGTTAGTTTTTCCAGGTTTTAAAATTGCAATCTAATATTTTCGAAAATGTGATGTTTGTCGATAAGGAATACTTCAAGGGTAAATAACTAGATATATAAGAACTTGAACGATTAAGTAGATGTATACTTCAAGTTCAAAAACATCTAGGGCCTAGCTTGTCTTTGGTTTAGTGGTGTTGCTAATGTTGTAGCTGCAACTATCTTGTTTTTACTTAATTTTTTACATTGTAAAAACTATGCATAAAGCATGCACACTTGCTGTGGCTGGTTGTTTACAGGGCGGTGGAGCCCTGGAGGTTTCTGGATCACCAACAGAAAAGGCCATTCTTCAGTGGGGAGTTAATGTAATTCAGTTAATTCCATTTTTTCTGTTACTAGATTCGTTGAATTGATTTGATTAATTGTTGTTGTCTCCTGTAGCTTGGGATGGATTTCAATTCAGCAAAATCAAAATCAGTGATAATTCATGCTTTTCCATTCAACTCAGAGAAAAAGCGAGGTGGTGTTGCTGTGAAACTGGTAACTGGAGAAATGAGTTCAGATGTTATATATTGTTTACATTTTTCTCTTCCTACTTGATAGATGATACTTTTATAAATGAAATTTTGGTAGGCATAAGTTCCAGAAGATGATCAATCACAAAATCTTTATTTATGTTATCTGCTCTGATGCTCGGACTCTTCGAAATAGTCAGAGTACCCATGTCGGACACGACATGATATGGGTATGGATATAGGATATGGGTCGGATCCTCCAAGTTTTAACCGGACACTTCGTCGTTTTTACTTCTTTGTCCTTCTTTTTTTTCTTTCTTTTTTTTTTTATCATTTTATTTCCCTTTTGTTCTTTTCCACTTTTGCTCTCTATAAAATTAGCGTCATCGCCGAAAGAGTGAAGAAAGGCGGCGGCGTTAGGTTTTCCCTTCTTTTTCCTTTCCATTTTCTTTTTTTTTTCCTTCCTTTTCTCTCTATATCGGTGGTTTAGGTTTTGTTTGTATAAAATGAAAAGAGGTTCCATATAGTGCTAATTAGTGCTCCACTAAGTCTAAATTACAATCAAGTTCCTCATTTTCTATTTTATATAACATTTAGTAATTCTCATAATTGAAAACTAAACCCCAAAATTCTAATTTATTCGTCTTAACCCCGTATTAAATACTCATTTCCTTTATTGTGAATAATTAATTTTGATCTATTTTTGACATCCTGATTTAGTAAAAAAAATTGAAGTTTCAAAGACGTACACACATACCCGTGTCCGAAATTTGGACTCTTTTTAATCATGTCTCCGTATCCTACATTTTAGAAAATAAAAGATCCGATACTTAGATACGTAACCATACCCGAGTCCGAGCATCATAGGTTATTTGTAACTAATTATGAGACTACAAGCGTTTGGTGCTTACGCTTATGTATCCACTAGGTTCTCTTGTACTGTGGTAGTACTTTTGTTAAGGTTTCTAGTACAAGTGTTTAGGTTGTACTTAATTTTTTGAAAATTCAAGGTTGAAAGCACTTTTCTATTACATGTGGACTCAATGTATTCATTCACCCTACTTAGAAATTATGATTTTCGCAGTCGGATTCTGAAGTTAATGTGCACTGGAAAGGGGCTGCAGAAATAGTCCTTGCATCTTGTACAAGTTACATTGACACAAATAATCATGTGGCTCCCATGGATGAAGATAAGGTTTCTGAAACATTTCCTTTTCTTGGTTAAATAGCTGTCCCTTCACCTCGCTCCCTGGACTACTTCTGTTTGCTACTACTTATAGTTTCTAAATGAAATAATGTTTGTATTTTCCTAATACATCTGAGTTGTAAGCAAACCTATCTGGCTGTGATGAGATAAGATACTTTATGATAGTTTGTAGCAAATGAAAAGCAAATTTTTTTCCTTGAGAATTGATACTTTTAAAATTTTTTTTTTTAATACTGCTGTTAAATAAATTTATTTTCATTCGCAGTTATTGGTTTTTAAGAAAGCAATTGAAGATATGGCTACCAGTAGTTTGCGGTGTGTTGCTATTGCCTACAGGCCATATGAAATGGAGAAGATTCCAAGTGGTGAAGAGGAACTTTTGAGTTGGCAGTTACCAGAGGGAGACCTTATTTTACTGGCCATTGTCGGTATCAAGGTGCTGATAAGTTGTTCTGCCTTTGATTACAACTGAAGTTTAGCTTCCCTAATAAATTAACTATTTGGTTAAAAATGAAATATCTGGGTTGTCATTTGTAAATCAGATTCTGAGTGTTAGAAATGATATATTGTTTTCACCGAAGAGGGAAACGAACTTAAGTTTTCGCCAGATGTCAGTTCTTCAGCTTTACATACTTGTATATATAGTGGGAAAATTTCACTTATGATGGTATTTTCGAATATGAATTTTCAATTTAAATATTTGGATAACTTGCCGGTCAAAGAGACTTTGCTTCTCACCATCAGCAGATTGCTCAGTGGCAGTTGCCTGACTGTTTCTATTGGTGATGGCTATGGTCTCAATCATAAAAATATACTTCCATCTAGTTCTGGGAGGTCGACATTGATAGTGTTTATTATGGCCCTGTTTGGGAGGGATTAGATTTTTCTACAGTAAATCAATTCTCATTTTCAACCACACATTTTTCAATAAAATAATATTTTCCATCACATCAATAATTTTTTCTTCTTTTTCCACCACACATTTCCCATCATNCACTATTCAAAATCAATTATTCCTCCAAAAATCTCTCCCAAACAAGCTCTATATTTTTGTGTGCGTTTTGGTGCCTATTTATACTCTTTTTTTGTTATGTTTTTTAAGGTTTTCCTCTTTCTCTTATTTTTTGGGGGTATACTTCCCTGGATGAATTTTTAAATGTCAAAACCAATTTTCCATGTTTAAAATAGATTTGTATGAACATATATGCGTGTCTATTATATTTTGTCACTAAGCTCGTTTATCTCTGATGTAGGATCCTTGTCGTCCTGGAGTGAGAGATGCAGTTCAATTATGTATTAACGCTGGCGTTAAGGTAAACCCGCCCCCCCCCCC